ACAGTGCTGGTGAGAGCGGGACTCCTTTCCTTAACGCAGACCTTGCCTGAACCGACTGCTGTCACTCATCTGAGTTACACTTCAGACTCAGGTAGCAGTCAGGAGGGTGCTTCTGGGTGTGAGTGGAATTTATGAAATGTCAAATTAAATAAAATTCAACAGGTTGTGTTATACCAGTAACAAAGTCAACATTTATGGGGCCCCCACGTCCCTGCTAAGTGCTGTTCCTCCTGCTCTAATATGTTCACTTTTGAAGTCCTAATAAAACTCCTATTCTGGGAAACAGCAACATGAAAATACAGGAGGGCTGGAGCTCAGTGGTATAGCATGTACTTAGCACTTGCAAGGCCCTGAGTTCCCAGCACACCTGTCCCCTCCCCAAGGAAAAAAGAAAACACTGGAGCACCGAGGAGGTCAGCAGTTTCCAGATCATGCAGTGAGAAAGCAGCAAGGGCTGGGATTCAAACCAGGCAACCCTCACGCTTAGCTCACAGCACACTGCCTCTTCCAAGGGTCATTACTAAGGTGTCAACTGAGCACTTGGATTCGGTGGAGCACTGGCTAGTGCCTCAGAGCTGCCTTGTTTCCTTTATTCCTCCAGATATGAGATAGTTTTCTTTCCGAGCCAGGTGCTGTGCCACATGCTGAGGAGGCCGAAGCAGGAGGATCACAGGTTAGAACCCAGCCTGGGACAACTTAGCAAGATCTTGTCTCAAAATTTAAAAAAAGGGCTGGGGTTGAGCTCAGAGCAAAGGCCCTGGATTTAAGTGATTCCCCTCAAACCCCTCCTCCCCCATATTCTTAAATGTCAACCTTTGTTGAAGGGAGATAACGGGTCCAAAGGATTTATTTTGATCTTTTATGCTTGTACGTATTTGAAAACTGCCATAAAAACAAAACCAAACAAAAGCAATGCCTTGGGTTCCTGTGGGGTCCCAGCTTACAGCGTTCCCAGAAGAGGGGGGCTGGGGAAGGGGAGGGAAAGGTTGAACTGGGAAGCAGAATTTCCCAAACTTTTTTGACCACAGAGCTCCATTTGTTTTCTTTGAAGCATTTTATGAAATGGGAACTCTGCAACCTTTCTTCGCTTTTGTTTAGCTTTTTGAGACTTGGTCTCACTGTGTAGTCCAGGCTGGGCTTGCACTGGCATTCTCCTGCCTCAGCCTTGAGGGTGCTAGGATTATAGGTGCCTAACACTATACCCAGGTGAGACACTTCTTTGGAGAACAAATTTCTCATTTTCTAGTTTGTGCCATCAAGATGTGCTACCTTCTGGTGGCTCTTGGGAGACGGGGCTTGGATGACAAGGAAGATAGGAGAGCAGGAAGGGGGCACTGGGGCTGGGGGAGCGGGTACAGGGAGCTGCTCACTGGGCCAGATGCAGTGTCCAGCCAGGCCCTGAGAAAAGTCTCTGAGCTCCCCTGGGGGAAGGGAACGGGATGCAGCGTTTCCAGGTCACCGCAGAAGACAGTGGGCAGGAGGCAAGGCAGGCCGGGACTTGAAATTCCCCACTCTCATGGCAAGAACTTCTCTTTGTTACATACCTTTCTGTTTACCCAACACTCTCCCACACGGCAACTTACTGCACAGCACTCAAAGCAGACAGCAATGAGATGCTGGTCATCCCACCACACAGGGCTCAGGACAGCTTACAAGACTCGACAAGGTCGAACAGGGAGGGCTAGCCCAGTGCCCTTTCCACGCTGCCTCCCAGCGTGAGGTGAGAGGGGCTGGAATCTTTGCCTCTGAGGGATGTTTGGTCTAGAAAATATGGCTGGAGCTGGGTGTGATGGCAAACACCTGTAATCCCAGCACTCAGAAGCCGGAGGCAGGATGATCAGAGTTCTAGGTCAGCCTGACCTACATGGAGAATTCATGGCCATCCTACACTACATAGGAAACCCTGTCTTAAAAAACACAAAGCAAAACAAAACTAAATAAAAATGTGGGTGCAACCTGGGCACACCCCGCGGAGGAGGAGAGGCAGACAAATTCAGGCAGGAAAGGTCAGATTTAGGATAGAAAGAGCAGGATTCTGGAGCCCCCAGGGAAACCTCATCTTGTTCAAGCAGGGAGGGGGAGGGGAAGACTAAGTCAGTGAGGGGCAGATCGGGTCCAGGAAGGCCTTTGGGTGTGGGGACGCTGAACGGGCCAGAGCCAGGCATGTCCCTGCACTGTGCCCTACCTGTACTGGGTGTCAGTGCACTCCTCTTCTGGGTGTCCCCCTCCCACACACCATCAGCTGCTGGTCCTTTCAAAGCTGGTTGCCCCCTAGCTTTATGCATGGTTTCTGGATTCCGCACCTCTGTTATCACCACGGATTTATCATGAGTGCTACCTACCTTGTTTGTTTCTTTGTTACACACAGTTTTTAAAAAGTCCTTTGTTGTTTTCCAAACAGAAACCAGGTGGGCTGTGATTTTCCAGGCTTGGAAAAGGTGGTCCCAATTACACTGGGGAGTGGAAGAGAGGTTAAGATAAGAAACATTCAAAAAGTATGAAGTGGATCAGGACAATCCTAATTTTAAAATGGTACTTTTAAGAAAGCTGCAGCTTTGGGACACAATCAGAGTTACCCAGGTTACAGTTTTTTTGTTTTGTTTTGTTTTCTCATGGTTTGTTATTTTCGTTTTTTTAAAGTCCCTTACTCTAAATTCCTCAGTCTTAGAAAAAATAAGATTGGTCTATACTTTCCTGCTGTAAATTGGGTCTTTCATCTATTAATTGAGCCAATGCTTTCTATAGATACAAATTCTGCAGATTTCCACCTTCAAAAACAGATAGATCTACCTGGTCCTACACCATAGCCTATTCTGTTTACTGAACTAACTGTGTCTCTCTGCAATGTGACCTGAACTGCTTTTCTGTGTCAAGTCAAGAACCTACATCATAGGTGGGGATGAGTTGAAGTCCTCATCTCATCTTTGGGGAAACATCCTCAGACCATCTTGTGGCAGGAGGGACAGAATTGTGATTCTAGGTTGATTTTTTGGTTGTTGTTTATTGTGGTAAAATATATATAACATGAGATTCACAGGGGCTGGGGTATAGCACAATGGTAGAGCAACTTGCCAAGTGTGGGCAGAGTCCCGGGTTTGATTCCCAGCACTGCAAACAAAAAAGAAAAGAGAAATGTATTGCTTTAGTCATCTTAAGTAGCATTTATTACAGTCACAGCTCTGTGCAGTCATCACCTTGACTTTGTTCTAGAACATTCCACCACTCCAGAAGGAAACCCTCCTACCCTTAAACAGATGCTCCCTACTTCTCTTCTTTTTCACACTCTACCCAAGGGCAGTATAGTTCAGAGGACATTTTCCAACTCGGTTGATTTTCTCTTTATGGATTTGTTTAGTCTGAGTATGTTAGTCAGCTGTTCCTTACTGTGATAAAATACCAGAGAAAACTAACTTAAAGTAAGCCGGGTTTAGTCTGACTCATGGTTTCAAAGGTTGCAGTTCATGCTGGTTCCACTGTTGCAGGCCTGTGGTGAAGCAGAAACATAATGTGGGGAGGGGCACCAGAGGATTGCTGTTCTCTTCATGGCAGCCAAGAAGCGGAGAAGGAGATAGCAAGAGAGACTCAGAGAAGAAGATGCCAGGGACAAAATATACTGTCAGCGCCTCACCCCCAGTGACCTGTCTCATCCAATTAGGCCCTACTTCCTAAAAAGCCCATCCAGCTAATGAACTCTTCAGTGGTTGTTATGGGTTTGTGTCTAGACCCGTACCCCAAGTCTCATGGGTTCTGAGGCAGGGCTTTTGGAAATGACTGGGTCATGGCATGCTGTACTCATTCGTCCACTGGTTCACTGATGAGTTCAGAGCTGACTGTGCTTTCAGGAGGTGGGGCCTGGTTGGAAGACAGGGTCACTGGGACTGAGACCCAGAAGGGTGTATCTTCCTCTCCTGCTCCTCCTTTCTCTCTCCGCTTCATGGCGTTCATTACATGAGCAGCTGACCTCCCAGGCCCTCCCACCATGCTGTTTCTGCCTGGGAGCTGACTGACTGTGGACTGAATCCTCTGAGACTGTGAACTAAAATAAATTTCTCCTTTAAGTTCCGGTTGATTGTTGGACAACATTGTTTCACACATATATCAAACAGGCCAAAAAAATAAACAGCAACTTCACAGACAAAAAAAGGAAAAAAAGAAACCTTTTATCTTTGGTCTTTTTAACCATCTCCTACAAACCAAACACTTACAGTGCAGCTAAGTACATACACAAAAAAAGTTACTAGAATGCTCAGAATAACACTTTTTTTGTTGTTGTTTCTGCTTTTTTTTTTACAAGGTTTTTTTTTTTTTCTCCTTTGAGATTATAATGAACATGGTCACATCACAAGTAAAGTCGGAAGTAGGACAGAATGTTCCGGAAGGCTGGTTTGGTCATCCGTAATCATCAAAACTGGCTGATCTCTAACAATATGTACAAAAATATAAAATGTAAATAGAAAATACAAACAAATTTTCCTTTTTATTTTTATTTTGTTTTTTTTTTTTCTGGTACCGGGAATCGAACTCACAACCTTGTGCTCACCAGGCGGGTGCTGTGCTGCTGAGCTGAATCCCCAGCCCCCAAATTTTCCTTTTTAAAGTACTTTTAAGAAAAAAAGCAGGGCCTTGGAAGTTTTGGTTTTTCCTCCCTGTTGCAAATTTGTGCGTGGGTTTGGTGGGGCATGGAGAGCAGTGTCATCTGTGATGGCGCTGCCATGGTGGCGGGCGCCTCTCTACTCGAAGGTGACCACCTTTATCTTTTTTTATTTTTAATTTTAATTTTTATTTTTTTGAGACAGGGTCTGGCTGTGCAGTTCAGGCTGGCTTTGAGCTCACTTTGTAGCCCAGGCTGGTCTCGAACTTGCAACGATCCTCCTGCCTCAGCCTTCCAAGTGCTGGGATTACAGGCATCAAAGGTGACCACCTTTAGATTCTGAGACAGGAAGTGGAGGGTGAATAGGTCACGGCTGTCTTTTTTAGTTTAACTTTTCCTTTTTTGCTGTCTAGTCATCCTCATCGGTCTTCTTCTTGGTGTCCAGGTTGTCGTCCTCGTCGTCCTCAGCTGCCCACTTGCCCGTAGCTGCCTCTGCCTTCTCGTCCTCATCCCCGTCCTCTTCCTCACAGTCGCTTTCCTCCTCCTCGCCGTCCTCCTCTTTCTCCTCCCCGCCTTCCTCATCTACCTCGTTCGTTGTCGGCCTCAGGCTCGCCATTCTCTCGTTAGCGTTCCTGTTGGCGAGGGCGTCTCTGCCGTTCTCCGCCTCCTCCACAACCTCCTTCTTCTCCTTCAGGTCCTTGGTGGTGATCTCGGAGCTGGTGTCCATGGCCGCGTCTGACAAGGTGGGGCACGCTGGTCGTCCGGTGCAGCAGGTGAAAAAGAAAGTGAGAGTTCAGGGATTGGAGCGAGGCAGCTGCCCTGAGTCCGCGGCGGAGGCGCGAGGTGGAGATGGTTGCAGTGAGCGGGGAGCCGGTCCAGGAACAATGCAAACATGGCTTTTCAGAGCAGCGAGTCTCTCCTTTAAGTTTTGAATGTTGAGTCTTTTGTTCTAGCAACAGAAAAGTGACAAATATATGAACGAGTCCACTCATGAAGTTAGAACCCTCAATACCTAAAAGCCCATTAACCTGTGACCAAGACTTCAACACAATGAGCCTTTTGGGGTCATTTAGGATCCCAAGCATAATATTGGGTGATTCAGGCAAAGGGAATAATATCCTATGTGACCTTTGTGTCTATCTTCTTTCCTTTAGCATAATGATTTTTAGGTTCACACACGTCATAGTAATTCATGCCTTTATATGGCTGAATAATCTTCTGCTGTATGGTTTTACCAGAATTTAGTCATCAGCTGATGAAGATTTTGGTTGTTTCCACTTCTTGGTCATTGTACATAGTGCTTCTGAAGCAGAAAAAGCACTTGCTCCCAGACAGGAGCTCCCCCGCTCCTTCAGCATCCCTCTTCCTGGCCTTCAATAAGCCTTTTGTTCTCTGTTAAGTTTCTGTTTTTCCCTGAACTGATGTAACTTCTTGTCCCTATCTCTGCTGTATGTAAAGAAGGTGGAATTCAGTGTAACTTTCTTGGCCAACCATGTAACCTTTGATTTTATCTTATATGCAAAGAAGGTGAAATTCAGTGTAACGTTCTATCCAGTCAACTAATGGCAAACACTCTGTTCTTGTACCTCCTACTTGGTTATAAATACTATAAAAGTCCTGCTCCCTGAAAGTTGAGGGCTTGGCTCCTTGGTGAAGGATCCCAGCCAAGCCTACTGGCATGCGTAAAGCTGTACACCTGCCTCCAAAACCCTGGGTGCCATTTAGTTTGTTGGTCTCACTCTGCTGCAATGCTTATTGGGAGCTGTAAACAACTTCTTGGAGCTGCAAACACTTTCTAGGTTCTGTAAACACCTTAAGAGCTATAAACTTTATGAGCTGCAACACTACTACAACACTTTGGTTCCCTGACCAGGAAGCCAGGTACACTAACCACTTAGGTCACCAGCTGAAGCCCTCACAGGGGGAGCAGGGACCACTCTGGTCCCGCAGCGGGAAGGCATACCCTCAGAGATTTCTCAGAGTTCCCTTGGAGGGCTGGAGACAAATTCCTACACTCGCAGCTTGTGGCTCTCTGGACCCAGAATGGGGAGGACACTTACCTGGTCTGGTCTGGTCACAGGATAAGGTAAGACGCCTGCAAGCACTCCAAGTCAGTTTAATTTCACTCAATTTGAGTGAAGGAGGGACTGATCACCCCTCATTAGTCAGGATTCCCAGAGAGGGAATGTTTAACATCTGAATGCATGCTGAATGATTGTGTGAATGTGTGTAATGGCTGGTGAAAGCAGTAGGTTGTTCTGTCTGTGCTCCATGGTGAATGTCCTCCTGGCCCCCAGAGCTACAGAGCTTGAGCAGGTTAGATTTCTGCAGTTCTGTGGTCGAGTTGTACGGCTAAGTTGTGACTCAACCTCTGTAGTGGGGTATTTGATCAGGTCCAGGAGTACGGGTGCATCTAATGTCAAGACAGACCCACGTCTCCATAAGGGGAGTGGCTAGAACTGATGAGTGCTTGGTCTATCTTTGTTGTGCTATCATTCAAGGGCACACTACACACACATAGGCAGAAAGAAAAAAACGGGTGCTAGCCAGAGTGAGGCCACTGTCCTTGATTGCATGTTAAAAAACTTCAAGAGAGGATTTTCTGATGACTACAGAGTAAAAATGAAACCCCAAAAGCTCTGTGCCTTTTGCGAAACTGAATGGCCAAACCTTTGCCCCAACTGGCCACCATAGGGAACACTTACTGTTGAAACTGACCATTGAGTCTGGAACAAAGTGACAGAACCTGACAAGCAAGGCTACCCCGACAAATTCCCTTCTATTGACTCCTGGTTCCACCTGTGCTAACCTTCCTGTCTTGGCTCTGCAGCTGCATCTGATGTGATAAAAAGGCCATCCTAATTGTCAAACAAACTCACAAAACCACATGAGAGGCTCTCATGTTTAACCCAAGCAAAAGAGACTTTATCTTGTTCTGCCAGAGGACCCTGAGTCTGACTTGCCTCCTTCTTACATTCATTGGCCCCCAAGATGCCCAGCCAGCTTTGGCAGCCCCATTGCCAACCCAAGTGTTGCTGTTGCCATGGCTACCACCCTCTACCCCCAGAGTCCATGGCACCACCACAACTGGGGCTGCTGCTACCACTGCAGCCAGGACTGCTGCTGTACTCCCCTGCACTCTCAGCACTGTAGTTTCACAGTGCTGCTACCAAGTGCATCACAGAAAACACACCCATTTTTCCTGCTCCAGCCGTGCCCTTTAGTGGTCCCTCAGCTCCACCAGCTATTCCTGATTCCAGTGGACCCATGCTACCTACACAAGCACCTGCTCCAGAATTTCTCCCGCTGTCCAGAGGTCTACATCTACTGCAGCTTCCTGCTATCCCTGTGTCTACAGCTCCACTGCCAACAACCACTGCAGTGTCTCCTGAACCCCAGGTTGATTTCTTATCAGGTGTTGTCAACTTGGACAGAAATACTGACAGCCCTATCAGCCACTGCCTCCACTTTGCCACTCAGTTTGAGGCTCCAGCTCATCTCCAGCTGCTGTTTTGTGTCTACCCCAGCTCTCAGGGAGGCACACCCAACTAATGCCTTTGATGTATTATCAGCCATTTAGCTCCACTGATCTTCTAAATTGGAAACATCACTCCCTGTCTGTCTTGGTTACTTTTCTCTTGTTGCTGAGACAAAATACCTGATGCCTAAAATTAAGGAAGGAAAGGTTTATTTAGCTTACAGTTTGTGGAGATTTTAGTCCATACTTGACTGGCTCCAAGGCAGAGTGGCATATGGCAGAGGGCAATAGTTCATGGTGGCAGAAGACAGCAAAAACAACAAGAGCAAAAGGGAGGAGGGGTGGCTAGCAGCCTCTTTCCCTCCCTTACATTTATGAAAACTACCTGCCCCAGGGCAGGTGTAGCACTCACATCCATAAACCCAGCATTGGACCATGAATGAATCATAAACTCTTGAAGCCTGCCCCATGACTGCATGAGGCTTTGCGGGGATATTCAGACACAAACCATAACACCATCCTATTCAAAGAAACCCCAAGTGATGACAGACCTCTTCATATCTATCTTCCAGACCCACCTGCCAACATGGTATGACTACCCACATCTGTTCCTAACTCTCTTCAAAAAGAGAGTTAGTGTTGTTAGTTTTTTTTCTTCAAAAAAAAAAAAAAAAAAAAAAAAGAAGAATGCATCTGCATTTTGGATGTGACTCAAGTCTGGCTGAGAGCTTGAATCCCCCCGATACTGTGATTGATCCTGACACTTGGGTGAACACAACCCTTCCCCAAGGATGGCCAAATTGGGACCATAACACAGTGAAGGGATATACAGCCTTGTATCAATATTGCAACACCCTCCTTGTAGACCTGAAGGAAAGAGGCAAAAAGCCAGTAAATAGGTCTAAAATCTCTGAAGTCTCTCAGGAGCCCAACAGAAGTCCAGCCAAATTTTATGAAAGACTGTGAGGCTTATCAAACCTATACCTCATTTGACAACAAGGCACCTGAAAACAAACAAATGGTTAATGCAGTCTTCATTACACAATCAGCCTCTGACATCAGAAAAGAGATTCAAAAGGTTGATGGGTTTTCTGGTATGAACCCCACTTAATTATTCCAAATAGCTCAAAATGTGTTTGTTAATCAGGAATGGGAGGAAAAGAAAGAACAATGACGTGAAACAGATCACCATGCCTGCCAAAATGCTGCCCTCCTATCCAGTAACAGACTGAGGAAGTCTGTTACTGAGGGACTCTGTCAATCATATCATTGCTACTGATCTAAATGGGCCCCTCAAGCTATACAGCCAAAAACTGGCAGCAGGTCCCCTTCTCTGGAAGCTGACCAATGCACTTGCTGCAAACAGTTTGGACACTGGAAAGATAAATGCCCCCTCTGACTGAGGGATGCAAAGAAAGCTGACTATCCAGACTACTTCAGCCTGAGCCTCTTCTCCCTGTCTCTGATAACAATGAGTAGGACAGACAAAGCTCTATCAGACTGGGAGCCCAGGAGCCCACAGTCATTGCCAGAATTGGGGCAAAACTTATAACTTTTATGGTGGACAGTGGGGCTGAACATTCAGTTGTAACTCAGCCTGTTGCTACCTTGACCTCTTGGCAAATCTAGGTCATTGGTGCTACTGAGGTCCCCACTGAAAAGAAATTCTGTCAAAGCAGATCTTGTGAGATTGGTGGAAACTTCAAACATGAATTTCTGTACATGCATGAGTACCCTATACCTCTCCTGGGATGTGACCTCCTTTCCAAGTTGAGAGCAACTATTTCCTTCACTCCAACCAAGCTAGTTTCCCTTACACTTGAGTCCACTTTCCCAGATCTGATATTGACTCTGAATGTACCTCAAGAAGAAGAATGATGCCTGAAATGCCCAATAATCATAACCCTGTCTTGTTTCCAGAAGTATAGGCAAAGGACTCACCCCCAGAGCTTGTTATCAACCATGCCCCTTTGGTGACTGAGCTCTGACCCACTGCAACCCCCAGTGCTGTTAAGCAGTACCTAATGTGACAAGAGGCTTGGCTTACCATCCAGCCCCACATCTCTTGCTTGAAACAGTTTGGAATCCTGATACACTGTCAATCACCTTGGAACACTCCTCCTGGGAGAAAGCTGAATGGATATTATCAGCCAGTACAGGATCTTTGTACCATCAACTCCATCACCACAACTTTGTACTTGGCAGTTCCCAACCCTTATACCCTCCTGGGTCTGCTTCCCCTGATGTTGCCTGGTTCACCTGTCTAGATTTTTTTTTTTGGTACCTGGAATCGAACTCAGGACCTTGCACCTGCC